GGATTTAAATTGGCTGATCTATGTGACTTTTAATTTTATCACTGATCGTCCAAAGACTTTTGCACCAGACTGTATATAAATTAAAAAATTCTCTTTTAAAACAATAAATAGATTGGCGTGATTCAACCTTAAAAAGATAGTCTAACTAAAACTTTCTTTCATGTATTTATTTTTTGCATTTGAATTAACGAACTTAATTTAAGGGGTAGAATCGGAGATATTGTACAACTATTGATCAATAATAATCCTTTTGTAATGATAATATATGTATAACTAGTCATGGCAATATTATAAAAAAACGCCCAAAAATAAAAAATGAACAAAAAAGATATTAGTGATTACGCATTTATATTTTTATGAATCAGCTGATATCCGCTTTTAGGTTACGCCACCATTTTGATACTAGTTTGCTGTATTCAGTCATTTGCATATTAGGTGGTTTATGTTTCATCATTTATTTACGGTATGAAATGAACATGTTTGGTTCCCTCTTTTTTGGTTTATTCATTCGTTTTTCTGATTTCTCTGGCTAAAGAAATGGAATTGTGTTTAATTTTGAAGATCTAAAAAATAGCTTTTTAATTAGGGATTTTTGTAACCTCCGAATTATTTATACAAATTAGAACCGACCGATAGTAAACAGTATCACAATACATTGATTTTCTTTCTAAATTTTCTATATTTGGCATTGAAGAAGAAAAATAGTAGTTTTAGAAGAAGAATTAGCCTACATTCATCATATTGTATGCATGGTTGTTTCTATATCCTTTTTTTATATATATATATATACCATATATACTGTCTATATAGAATAACAAATTATGTCATAAAAAAATTGTTTTATGCACATTGGCGAATATCTCGTCTCATTTTTCGTCAATCGGCAACATAATTAACGCGATAAAAAAGACGTGTTATGTAATTATTTAAATAACTTTGTACAATAAAAAAACCGGTTATCCATTATTTAAATTTGTTTGAATGAAAATCTCATCTCTATATAAAAAATCCATAGAAATATTGTAACTTATGGCAGACCAAAACTAGTTAATCTGTCTTGAGGAATTGGAAACAAGCGCAGTTAGTAATACTTACCGTACTTCTTTCGCCTGTTTTTTGTCACTCGTTGTAATATTATATATAAGCATGATTAAAAACGACATTTGGAGATTTACTTTGAATTTTATGAGGAAAAATATTTTACAATTTTTTCTTAAAAATATTAAAAAGACATACGCAGAAAATATGTCATCAAATCAAAACCGACAATTTCTTACTTCAATAATTAATATGGATCGGTTACTTGGAACACAACATTCAAGAAGCGTTAATCAAAGAAGGAGAAGAAGGGTGAATCGACTTGGATTAAATACATATCAAATACGTAATGTTCTCACAAATAATCGAGACACGCTTGGTCGTATCGTTAACCTTTCTACACAAACTTCAAGTGATCTGTTGATTAATCAATTTTACAATGGGTCTTCGTTCATTTAAACTTTGAAAGGACATGAAAATAATTATAGCAACTTAAACTCTAAATTAAAATTATAATTATTAAATTTCCTTATACAAGTATCTTTTGAATCATAAGTTACTTAAATTTTAAATTTATAACTTAACAAGTGGTGTTGTTGATTTTTTTTTTATTATATAACTTGAAAATGACGACATTTTTCAATAAATAAACAAAATATTTAAGTACTTCAAAAACTAAAAAACACGAGTTATAATTTTTTTTTTTTTAGTGCAACTGTGTTTGTGCACTGTGTAAATTGTTTAATAAGTTTAAATTTTAAATTTTCAATCAATTCACGAAATGCGAAACGAAAATCATTGATAGTCATTAAATTATTAAGGATAATTCATACCAGAAATAAATTAACCTAATTTGGCAGATGATCATCATCATCCAACAAAAACCGGTAATTTCAAGTTCTTCTAGGTATACGTTAAGTTTGATATGCGTCAGGATATTTCATCAATGAATTTATTTCCTTTAACGGTAAATCACGAAAATCCCCAAAACTATTTTTGATGTTGAGAATTGATTCACAATCTGTTCATTTTGTGTCATCATTTAACATACTTTTACTTGTTTAAATACTTGTTCTTGTATCAAAAATAATTATACAAAGTTATAAGGTTAGGTTCAAATAATCTTGTGTAAAACCAACTCGGAAGAAAGTGCTATATCTTTCCGATGTTAAAATAAAGTGGAGATGATCTATTTACTTGAAAGTTCAGTCCTGAATCAGTCCTGAAAACAAAACAAAACATTTCCTAATAACTTAAATAAATATGTATATATATATTGTATTCCATTTATACATATATACCTATTACTTCTTTAATATAAAAAAGTATTTAACCTAATTAAGCAAAATCAATGATATCAGAAAACAGACCGTAAAGAATTTTCAGGATTGAATAAAGAAGTTCTGCATTTGGTCCGATTCCTATTTTGGTTTGTGATACTAAAATTTTATGATTGGCTAAATTACTAAATATTTAAAGTGTTAAAGTTTAGAGTTTGGAAATGAAAATTTTCTTTGGTTTATTTATTTTATTGTAATAGCTGGTTTCGTCGCATTTTACTGAACGCAAAAAAGTTATCGAAATAAAATATGAGGCACATGATCGTGCATTTCCAAATTTTTCTGGTTAGAAATATTTGACTAACCGGACTAATAACTGACAATAAAACAAAATAAAATGACAATATAGGGTTTTGTTTGTTTTTAATAAAGGTCAAGTAAATTATTTAAAAAATATCAAAATTTACAGTATTCCATCCATTTTGCGTAGGATTATCTCATTCACATAAATCAGGAATTCTAACTGAATAAACAATGTCAAATGAATCCATTATACTAACTTCCATGGAATATATATATACTAGTTACTCATAATCTATTCTAAGTGCCATCTACTTTTCCATTATTTCCCCAGATTACTGCCAAATCTACGTTAAAACCTAAAGAATTTTTAAGCTGCATGCAATTTTATTCGCGGATTTAAACGCAGAGTCGGGAAATTTGAATGTAGTGCATTACCTATTGTCATTATTTATTTTATATATATTAATTGGGACGTTATTTCCCTGATTTTGTCTGACAATAACTTACTTGATTCATACGGAACTGAAAGATGTTCGCCCACCAGGGCGTGACACCAGGAACTAATTTTTGCAAGTTAAGTGGGGGTGAAATTTTTTTGGGCATACTGGGGAAGATGGCATCGAATACTTATAAAGCTCTTAAACATGGTTGCAAATTGATTCGCAAACAATTCAGACTCCTCTCTCAATTATTTTAACCTAATCATCAAAAATGATTTATTTTATTAATTGTGTTACGATAGGCTCTTATGAAAATACCCTTTCCTTTGAGCCAGATGGCTTCCCAAGTGGCGAAGATTGTGTCCACGGGTAATTATTAAAGGTGTCAATATTATATCTGGAAGAACGTTCATTTTTATTGGATTCGGCTAATAAATTTAGTAATACGTATTAAGTCAATTCAATTAAATTAACGAAATTTTTTCGTTTCTGATATCGTTAAATTTTTTTTCCCTCGCTTCGACAATGAAAGAATCAAGCACTATTATGAAATCGTTTAAACAGACTCTAATAATATACCTTTTAATGAAAAAAGCTCGATTTAGATGGACTGAACAAAGCATTAAGTTATTACTTTCGTTCTTAAAGAAAAGGAAGTACTAAAATATTTCTGGAATTACGCCTCAATTATCTGGCCTACTTGGTATGAATACAAATATTCAGCAAGCCTTCAAAGTAAAATTTTTTTTCTTAATAAAATCATTATTCGGTATAAGTTGCAAGTTGAAGGAATTCTTGACTGAACGTGCAAAATTGAATTTTGAACTTCAAAACTGGTGAACATACAATTATTCTTTTGTTAAATTCGAAGGAAAATATAATTAGTATATAATTGGAAATGACGCGAAGAAAAAATATAAACGCACAATAAATCTTTTTTTATTATAAAATCATTTTGACGATCTACTATTAATAAAAAATATGTAAATTGACATCTCTATATAAATGATTTCTTTTTTAATTGATAGGTTACAATAAAACTTATGCGTGAGAAATTTGATTACAAAATGTAGGTCAAGTATTTTTTAAAAGTGACACCAACAAATTGTTACCATTTTGCAGAAAACACACGATATAACTATTGTAACCATTTGAAAGGTCGATCAACAATGCGTATGATATAATTATTGTAACCATTTGAAAGGTCAATCGAACAGGATTTTACTGGCTAACTGTCAAATGAATTAACATCATCTTCATACTTACTTGTAATAGATTTATCAAATATTAATAAATTACGACTTAATAAGAAAATATTTCAAATTTTAATTTATATTGAAAGGTTTGGTTATATAACAATGGAACAAACATCTTTTTCATTATACTTGTAATAGATTTATTAGATATCAATGATTCCGACCTTGTAATTTCCACTCCGCATTACAAATGAATTTTCAGCCAAAACGCTAGAGAATTTTCAAACGGGGTGAAAGTTATTCCGGGATAACTATAAACTGGGGTATTTTTTCACAAAATATTCTATATTTATATTTATATTTGATAAGAAAATATTTCATATGTATGCAACTAAAAAGTTGAAAAGAATAAATTACGAGTTATTATTCATACCAAATAAGGAACTGAAAGGTCGTCCTGCATAAATAAAAATTTTTACAATAATTCATATTTTAGTTATTCAATTAAACCAATAACATTGTTTTTCACAGCAATTTGTGACCCCTATCATCTTAAAAGGTTCTTATCATAACACTCATTAAAAAATAAATAAATAAAATAAACGTGAAATTTCGTCTCTCTTCCCTTCACTTTCTTTGGAAAGGATGCCGCCAATTAGAGAACATCAACTTTCACCTTTTTCACAGCACCACCCAAATTCTCATTCTTCAGGCGATCATTCGCCAACAAAGAGTGATAAGTCGTTCGTTATTAGCTGATAAAGACCGAAACATACATAGTAAAAGTAGTCCAAACATTATCACGAGAGCTTTGAGAGTAGGCGTGACAAATTTTATAAATGTGATAAAAAGTTTACATCAAGGTGAATCAATAAATACTTTCCTGTAATAAAGGAAACTTTACAGAAATATATCGATTCGGAAAGAAAGGACTTCATAAAAGCCGGGTCGCTTGATCAATATTTACAACAATTTCAAGCGTATAACATTGCCCTAGGTTTTGGTTGAGACGATCAAGTAATTTGTCCAATCATCAACAAAGCTTTAGACGAATTAAAAAATTGTAAAAATTGTGAAGATGAGACTTCTTCAATGATCGAAAGTATCTCAAGCCAACCACAACAACCTACTTTAGTAAATTCTGCAATTTCGCAACAATCGAATAATTTTTCAAATTATTTGATTCCTAATTTTTATTCAATACCTGATGATGTTGAAATGGAAGATTTATTTACAATTGATAAAGGTGATACAATAATTATTACTTTCGTTCTTAAAAGAAAATAAAGAAGTACTAAAAATTCTTGTAGAAAAGCGCGGAGGTAGCGGAAATATTAAAAGAAGTGCGCCGCAAAGATGGTATACGACGATCAAAACCAATATTTTCCCGAGCAGTGTGAATTAAAATGGAAAAATATCAAGCAAGACTGCAAGGTACTTATATAATTTTAATTCAAATCTTTCTAAAAAGGTAGGAATTCTTCACTGAGCGTGCAGAATTTTGATGAGTTGGATCTAATTGGAACATTCAAAATTAATGTTTCTCCTTAATTATAAATAATTTATGGTTAAATCAAATAATGATTTTTTCATGAAAGAATTTTTTTTTTTTTTTGTAAAATCAACATTGTCTTACAAACAAGATATATATTTTTTTAAAAGTAAATGCAAAACAATACGATGGCTCAGCTATACCATTTATTAATATTTCGTTTCTTTAATTTCTTTTTTTTTTTAAAAAAATCAGTTGGTGTAACGTAAGATTATAAAAATTTTAATTAGTAACGAATGAATCGCTTAGTTATTAGATGTAATAAGTCATATTAATAAACACAAATCACAAATCCCTTATAAGGGTCTTTTCAACAAGAAGCTTGAAGTTGGTTAAGCAAGGAAAACTATTTGTGAAGGCATATACAGAAGTGTGCAAAAAAAAAAAAATGAACTTCTTTAAAATCTCGTTAGTTCCACAAGTATTGCGTCAATTAAATTTTACAATGCGTCATTTTAAAGCTAAAACCGAGTATATTTTATTAAAAAAACGCTATTTTCTCAATAACCTTACTACAACGCTTCTTAGTATCATTATCTTGCTGGAGTCGCCATCTACCTCTGCGCACTTCCGTAATTTTTTTTTTTAATTGTATTCTCCATTCATTATACGTCTAAAAGAAAAAGACTGGTGGTACCCTTTACACAAAAACCACCCCATGCGAATATTTTACTTCGGTCCTTTGGCATTGGACGAATTGGCCTTACATTTATACCAATGCTTTATCGTGTTAAGGAATGGAAAGATGGTTCATTACTAAATAGGGATTTTCCATTATCATCCTTGCGTTTCTTGGTCCATTCAACTTGTTTTTGCTTATGGACTGGGGTTAACATTGGTGTACAAAGGGGAAGTGCATTTCTGTATCCACGGTCAGCCAAATGTCTTGGAACAGTTGAGCGGAAGACATCTATTTCTATATCTTTCAATTTATCAGCAACAGACCCAGAAGAAATTGAAGGTTACCTTCGAATGTATTATCCAATTACCCGGATGCATTTTTCGTTATTTTTTTAATACGTCCGTTACCATCTTTATGCTTTACATCTCCAGTATTTTTAGGTTTCGACAGATAGTACTAATTGGAATCTTTGTCAAACTTTGTATTTTAGCATTTCGTATTCCTTGCTTCTAGAAATGTAATATTAATCTTTCGTTATGTTTCTTGCCTTGATGAAGTCATTTTGATATTCGATAAATATAATTTAAGTTAAATTGCGGGAAAGGTTTTGCTGAAAGGTGATAGAGTGATCGTCAGGCTCATTTTGTGTTACGCTTGTTGAAAAAAAAAGTTCATTTTTTTTTTGCACACCACTGAACTTACCTTTATAATAAATATTTCTTCAAAATAAAAACATTTCTAGCGTCGACATACGTATGTATACTATATAACACAAAGTAATTCATATATGATATTTCATCAGAAAAATTTTGATCATTCTTTATTTGTTTTTGTCATTTGGGAGGAACTAAAATCAAAGTTGTTATAAAAAATCGTGCAGTAGTTATAAAGTCGTCGTTTTAATAAATTTAATTTGCTAAATTTTATTAATTTATAAATGATTCAAGAAAGCAAAATTTTTATTTGACTTGACATTATACAACAAGTGAAAATAGTTTTTATCGGTCTCAAAGGCCCGCAGGTGGTTGTTGGTTTAATATTTATATACATGGGACCTTTGCAATAGAAAGAGGGGAAACTGCTGGACAAAATCAATTTTACTTTGATATGCCAAATACGATTTTCATGCTGATATGATTTGACATTAACTCATTTTATATTTTTCCCGGAGGATTTCCCATATAATGTATGTACAGTATACCACCTCCATCCATCAGAACCATGAGTTGTGTAAGAAGTATTGGATGAGACTGAATGGCTAATTATGGTGGTTAACCATAACTTTTAAGGGTATCGGACATCCGTTTCGTCGAAACACACTTCGCCGAAGCTAATTTATCAAAAGGACTCTTCGCCGAACGATCACTTCGCCGAATGGACTTTTCACCGAAAGACGTTTTCGCCGAAATACCATTTCGACGAAAGGACACTTCGCCGAATCCTTTTTGCCGAACGGACACATCGCAGAATCCGTTTCACCGAAAGGACATTTCGCCGAAAATGGCTACTGCGTAACATTTGTATAACTTATCATTTTTAGGTTCTACATTAAAAAGTAAGTTTTTCTTAAAAATTCGTTGGAAATAATAAAAAAAGTTCAATAAATCTGGAAAATTGCTAACAACCAACAGCAAATTATTTTCGTTTTCGGCGAAATGTCCTTTCGGTGAATTGGCTCCGGCAAATGGGGTTTCGGCGGAACGGGTTTCGGCGAAACGTACCGTAATCACTTTTGAGACCATTTCACGACTTGTTCATTCCATAGGGTCTTATATCTTGGTTGTTTGTAGTTAACGGTTGAATGATATTACTCGTCTTGGTGAAGATCGACTACCAACATCAAATATGATCTAAGACTTGCAGCTGGGAAATTGAAGGATCGTGCATAACTGCTAGAATGAATGGATGAGATGAAAATGACACTTTCTTCAGGAATTGACTTGATTCTTTCTAGAAATAGTATTGAATCCATCCATGATAAATTTTAAATGTAACAAGTATCCTAGTTAGATTTTGGGGTCTTTGGAATAAGAGAGAAAATAAATTTTTTTTTAAAAATGACACGAGCTGGATTACAAGAATTTAAATTTAAGAAAAACAAATGAATAAACATAATATTGTTTATTATAAATCTTTTATCATCCTTATCATTGTTGCATTCAAACATAATATTGTGACACCATGATTTTTGAATTTTTAAATAATAATAAATAATACACTCGTGTAACGTATCGAATTCATTGACAAAACTTTATTTACATACAGGTATATCAAATACCGATAGTCCTTCATTGAATTAATCGTTGTAAGTAAATATTGGATAAATCAATAATTTATTTTTATTAGAATTATTTGGAACTTTACACGGCGTTTATGAACACTAGTCATACCTTGGGATTAGGGTTTTTGGGTTAGCTATTAATTACCATGACTCACGCCAACTGCTTTTCGTTTTTACTAAGTAAACTGGAGACATTCATACGCATCGTGTAAATTCCCTCACTTTTTTTGTTTTAATAATATAAATATATACATACACAAATATTCAAACGAATATTGATGAATCTAAAAAAATGATAATTTCGTAATAAAAAAATGATATAATGTAAATGCGATATTTAATATAATGCATTTTATAAATGTAATAATTTAACGATGTAATGCAAAAGTTATGAAAAAACGAAATCTTTCAAAGAAGCCAGCTATTTGAACCCATTGAAAAAATCATGTATCAGTCGATCATTTATCGTTAAAGTTTGTACAGGAATTCTTGAAATTCGATCCAACGTATCGTTATTGGTGGCATTACGTTTCTGATGCAAACTTTGATTTTCAGGTTGAAATGTATTTCCATCGTTACCAGTAATAGCGTTAAAGTATCCGTTTTGATTCGAAGTCGTTGTCATATTGTTTTTATTATGTCTTAGCAATATTGTTAAGGATTTTGTTGTTATTTAAAAAGAAAAAAAGGATGAAATCCTTATAACATAAAAAAACAAAAAGAACTTTTTTCAACCTATTTAAATGTAATAATAATCTTGATTTTATTAAGTAATCTCAGAATCTAATTCCTAACGACGATTAATTCACAAAGAAGGTTTAGATACTGCGACGAGGATTATTCTGATTATCGATCGCATCAAAAAATGAAAGCATTTAATGATACCAAATTTTGTCATTTAGATTAACATTCCAATTAACAAATTAATAAATGTGTTTGGCCGATGCATTCGAAAACAATGTGTAAACCAGTATCTTACCTGTTACAAATCCTTTGACCCACTACATGACGTAACATCAGAAAATTTTTTATTTCAATGTGACACCAAATATTATTAATAGTTTGGATCTTGTACCCGCAATCTCTCATTCAAAAATTCCAACACGATAATAAGAAAAAAATAAAAATAAAAATAAAGCGTTAAAAAGAACTACCTTTATTTCTAAATTTAGAATTTGATTGACTTTTTTTTAACACAATAAAATATGATAAAGTTTCAAATGAAAGTATTTATATTTGTACCACGTCAAACCAACCATATGTATTAAAAAAAAGTTTTTTTCTTTCATAAATCACTCATAAATCATATAGCTGGTTATTTAGAGATACAAATGGAAATTATGTCCAATTAATACATTGTTATAAAAATATTCTCACCTGTTGATCTTTCCTTGTTCCAATAAAGCATTACTTGCCGAAGTTGAAATCAATGATTCGTTCGCGGATCAATTGTAGAATGAGTATTGATTTGTATCCAAAAGCGATAGTCTATATAATCTTCCTTTTTAGTTTTGAAATACTTTTAGATCTATCAACAGCCGCTCTTTTGAAACATTCTACCACATGTTAAAAAAAAGTTATAATACATATATGTATATATTGAAACATGGAGTCATATCATGATATTCCTGATGAAGGAGTAAATCATCATCGCCAAGAAAAAAAATTTCGTGCTCTTCACATTTGCAAGATGCAAAAGTTGAACTTTCACGAATATTCACACTGAAATAGGATAACTTTTTTTTTTCGGTGATATGTTACTCATTATAATATTATTTAATTTGAACGACATTAATTTTTAGGTTTAACCCCTCTCTTTTCTGAAATACAAAAAAAAAAAATAAGTTCCGGATATCTCCAGTAATAAATTTCTCAGAGATTTGTTTCAAACGTGTAAAGAAATAAAAGACTAATTCGTTTCATTCCGTACAAATTGCACGTTCCACATAACCACACTTAGAAAATGAATCATATGCACATGGCATTGCATGGTACTGATTTCATTTTCTTACAGGATGTTTCAATTATAGTCTTACGTTACTTTGACTTCAAAAAAGAAAATTTCACGTAGAGCGCAACAGTTCATTTCAAAATATTTTCACGAGTGTTATTAGTGTAGTTACAAAGTTAGACCTACAAGATTATGGGAACACTTTTGAATTATAATATGGTTTTTTTTAGAAGAGATTATTCATTAATAAAGTTGATCAAAGGTATTAAATATATTTCTTAATATAACAAAAATACTAATTATGTTCTTATTTTATTTTTTAAAAAAATGAACCATCAAACTTCTTTCATTGTTACGAAATAGGAAAAATATGTCAAAATCGCAATTTTATGTACGTTTCAATAACGCAAATGATTTTTGTAGATATAAACGATTAATTTAAACAAAAGATAAAAAATTCTCAAAATACATGTAATTTTATATACAGTGGTGTGCAAAAAAAATGACAATTTTTACTGCGGTAGATCGTCATTATGTAACTAGCCCAATTTT